TATGAATGCAAAAAACTAAAAATAAATAGATAAAAAAAAAGAAGGCAAGAAAAATCATTTGGAAGCTGCTTTCTTTCATATTATTAGATTATAAAAGTATCCAACTATACATAAGGCTAAGGCTTCTAAATGTCATATAACAAAACTGATTTTAAACATTTTAGCTGAATCCCCACTAAACGTAAAGATCTAAATTTGATTTGAAATGTTTCTTAAAGACACAATTAGAATAATTCTCAGATTTCTATTGTTCTGAAGCATTCATTTTAGCCTTAAAAGCGTATTTTACGCACCGCCCTCTCTGCAGCTTTTACAAATAAAATAGCTAACCTCTTATTCCGGGTGAATGTTTTTTAACCAGCTAACCTTCGAGATTTGCAGTCTGAATAATAATCCAACCTCAGTTTCATGCATGTTACCATTCCTTCCTAGCAGCAAAAAAGGAATTTCCCTCATTTCATTCTTGTTCAGTCTGGTAGCAGCTGGAGTCAGCTCTGTGGGATTTATTGTAAGGCTGTAGCTTTAGTTTCCTGTATGTGCACGTGTTTTCACCAGTGTTTTCGTGTGGATGTGGGGACCACGACTTTATAGTGTCATTCCACGGGAGGTAAATAGATTAAGAGATTATTTGTCACTTATTGCTCCTATATAGCCACTGCAATGCTCTGACATTACAGAGTCGCCATGGTGCAGCAGATTCCTTTGGTCTTCTGTTGACCATATGCGGGCAAAACCAAATGAACAAAATAGTTGAAAAATACAGGGCTTGGGTTTACATAGACCTGTATCTGTAGAATTTATAATGGTCAGCTTAATAATACTGTGCATTTCTGCAGGTTTGTCAGTGAATGCAAAGAATAAAAGTGGCCTTTTTTTTTTTTTTTTTTTTTTTTTTTTTTTTTTTTTTGAAGGTACCTTATTGATTAAAGAGTATAAACAAAATAAATGCCTTTTCGACAAATTTTCTCTGTAGCTACCATCGGGGGCCAGCAGCTGCAGTTTTATCGGACGAATGTATGGATGTTTACTTCTATTATTCTTTCAAATAAACATGTATCCCCACGGTTCAGTTCGGGTGGGGGAGGTTATATGGAGGGTAGATTTAATTGCACAGCTTCAACCCTACTGGACACCTAGTCTAATAAAGACTATGGGCTTCTTTTATCTTTTTTTCAACTCTCCATTTCAGTTGAGTTGCAGATTGTCACGGATAAAGACAATTGCTTAATATTAAGGAAGTTATATTTCTTTGCGCAGTTGATGATGATCATCGGTTTGCTTTGACTGGTTTAAATGTTTTAACAAAGAATTTTGAGTAGGCTGTTCACCATCAAATTATGTAACAAATGCTAAAATATTTCAAGGTTGGTCGCAAATCTTGGAGATATATCAGTGCAATGAAAATATTATTAATTAGATGTCTAAAGCAAAAAAAAAAAAAAAAAAAGCATCTCATTCAAGGAATTCTAACATCCCTTGTTTCACCCCAAGCAGGATTTTTTTTCTTTCACGACAGACAAAATGTCTGTTCCTTTCTCAGTATACACTTTTCTTCCCAGGGAGTTTCCTTTAAGCTTTGTTCTGTTTCATGTTTCGATTTAAAGCTCCAAGGAAATAAAAAATAATGATTTTGATTTCGATTTCTTAAGGTGAATTCAGTTGATGGTAAACAATATAAACTGCATTAAGTTTGCTGCAATATACAGAATTTAAAAACGTGTAGCATATATAACATTTATTAAAATCTTTATAAATATGTGGATGTTTTGTAGGTGTTATTTAAAGTATTTTTGCTTAAAGTAAAGATGCTTCAGTTATTAATAGCTTTAATAAACAGTGCTTCTAATGCGTGTTTTTTTTTTGTGTGTAGTGGTCAGGGTGTAGGCCTTCTCCTAAGGTCACAAAGCGTGTGAATATTACGAAACCGCGGCTGCAGCATGGCTACAGTCTAACATAGCTCTATCATGGTCATGCAGGCACATGACACATTGTCTCTCTCTGTTGACACTGAGAGAAAATTCCGGCAACACAACATAATGCACTCCAATTTGCATGCCTGCGTTATATTCCTTCTGGCCTCTCTTTGCTTCAGCCTGCGGGTTACAAAAGAACAAACCAAACCAGAACACTGTTTCCCTCCACAGTTTCAATTGTTCACTTTACAGCCTGCACTAATTTAGACTAGTCATATCTACACAGGAAGGGGTATTTGATTTTTTTTTTTATTGTGGGCTAAGTGTCTAATCAGAAGCACGTGGCCTCCATTTCAAAGGGTGCAGTCTTTCCGGCCATGACAGTCGCCTTAAAATCTCCATTAGAGGCGGTGCTCTCATCACACGGACACCCTGAACACATCAAGGTTGTAGATTAGAAGCAGAAGAATCAATTCAACATGTCTTCTAATTGTTGTAATATTTGTCTTTGTCTTGTGCTTTAATGGCGCCGTCCTCTGCTTGTGTTTGGACATTTGAAACATCGATGACGCTCAGGACTGTTTCCATCAAATGGAAGCAAAGCCCTGAAAGTGTGGCCAGTTCTCCACAGCATAGTAATATATTTCTGTTCGTAAAGGTGTTAAGTCTATTTGATGGAGAAAAAAATGTTGTCCCCGAATTGTATTGCTAAAAAAACATATAACAACCTTTATCCATAAAGAAAAACTGAATTTAGTTGAAGTTGCTGCATTGCGCTTTAGCTGTTCCCCCAAGGAAAGGAACGGGAGTTTGTGATTGGCTATTAAATTTCCACCATTTTTAAATCTTCATCCACCATCAAAGAGCTTAAGGTCCTCATTCCAGATACCGCACCCCCCACCCCCAAATAAGGTATTTGAAAATCATGTACTCCAACTCTCTTTGGGCTTTATAAAGCACACTGCAACAAATAGCTTTCTGATAGATATGCACTTGATCAAAAATCAAAATCTAGATAGGTCATTTTTTCTTAAAATAATTGCATTTGTTCCTGAATTGAGGTAAAAGAGGCATTTTGCCAATGGAACAAGACAATTTACACTTAAAATAAGAACACACAATTATTTTATTTCAAGTGCATATTCTCTAATTATCGTATTTTAAGAGTAAACATATCATTCCATTGGCAAATCTTATTTATCTTCTCAACCTGAGGCTAAACACACTTAATTTAAGACATTTTTACTAATTTCTAGATCATTTTTGCAGTGTGCATGAAACTTGCACTTAAATTAATATAAAATAATACCAAATAGGTATTATTAAATAAGTTCCTAGTTTTCCCAGATTAAAAACCTATGATGTCCAGTTTTAGCTTTTGGTTTCGATGCACCCAAAGGCTATTGGTGGCCCCCATGTGGCCAACCCATTCAAAGCTTCCCATAGTCCCCCATGATTTTATCACAACGAATCTAGCATTTTCACACGGTTTATTTGCCCTATTCCATTTTAAGAGAACTCTTTGGTACCAAATACAAAGAGTTGTTTCCACGCTTATTTTAGATTAAGAATGTGCGTTTTTTTTCGGGGGGTAGGTAAAAAAAAAAATGAAGGGGAGCTTAATTTTTTTCACTCCAACCACGGCCGTATTGTTGTTGTCTTTGATGTTGCTTTTGCTCAGTAAATTTGCTGTTATTAACAGCAAAGTTTGACAGAACGCTGAAGAAGCGCCAGAGCCTTTATGTTAGTATCAGAACTATTAAACCACTTAATACCATTCATCTGCATAACATTTATTGCATGTTTTATCACTGCTTTGGCTAAATTTACAGATGCTCTCTTTCTAAAACACACATCTATCAAGAGACTAACTATATAAATGAGGAAAAATAAGTCTACATGCAGAATTACATAAAGATAAAATAAATCCCAAACATTGAGAATCTTCTTCCACTGCATAAAACATCTAGAATTAAGTACAAAATTTCTTAAAATAAGTGTATTTACCCTTAATTTTAGTAGGTAAATAAGATAATTTGCCAATGGAATGAGTATTTCTACTCCTAATATAAGACAATTAGATAATATTCACTTGAATTAAGACAAAGCAATTTTTTTTTCTTATTTTAAATGTAAATTGTCTTTTTCCATTGGCAAGGTGTCTTACTTATCTCCTCAATTCAAGGCAAAATTAACTTAATTTAAGCAAAACAAACTCATACAGATTTCCATTTTTTGCAGTGTCCACAGTTATAATAAAAATAAAGTTTCTTACAGCTTACTTTATTGTCTAACCAATGTAGACTAGTTTAACGTGGATTCAGTTGTTTTATTCCAGCCATGTATTATATTAACTATACTTATAAGGAGGTAGATCAATAGGGGTTCTGTAGGATTCTGAACTATAGTAATATGTAGACTTTAACAGTAATATCGCAGTTTAATTGCTAATTTGTTTATGCATTAGTAGTAGCAATGAGTTGGAACCAGCTTATAAGAGCAAGTGGGTGACTATTGGGTTATTTGTGTAAGAGAAAAATAAAGGCAGTTTGTTACATTTTGCTTAGATATGTTTAAAGATAATACAACACACCGACAACACAGCAACAAACCCCCTTTTGTGCGGGCAGGAAAACAGGACATAAATTTGATTTATTTTTATTCTTAAATTAATTATAATAGCGCGAAATGATAAGAACATCATGCCTCTCGCTTAGTTTCAAAACATGGTTATTTTCTGACACTGATATCCCGTTTGAGAAAATATGTGACATTCTGCAGTAACGTGGAGGCGGGGGTCTGGGTGCTGCTTTCCAAATATTGCTCTTGTTTAAAAACGCCAAATACATATAAAAAGCTTGGGTCTAATTTAAAATAAACAGAAAAATGATGCTTCCCTTCGTCTGATCATACGTGTTTTGTGTGCAAATCACCAGACTTATCTATGTGATTATATTTAATACATTGATCCTTAAAATCAGCTGCTATTAAAGACCAACATTGCCCTCTAGCGGGCTTTTTTATCCCTGAAAGTGCTTCAATCAGGATGGAATGTTACATTTTAAATTGTTTTTTTGTTTTTGTTTGTTTGTTTTATTTTTTTAGAGAGATCTATATTTTTAGTGAAATAGAATAAAAAATCAAGTCAGCAAGTTCGAGAGCAAAACCGCATTATTACAAATTGGCAACACCTGATGCGCACACAGAGCTTGGAGTAGCTTAGCATTTAACTCTAGAGTCATTAGATGCAGGGCCCACACTGCCATCCATGCAGTCAAAGTGAAGTTTTTTCCCATCGGTGGGAAGTGCAGTTGATGAATAAACCTGACCATTAGATTGGGGGGGGGGGGGGGGGGGTGCATTTGGGGTGAATTTCCTCTAAAACAATTCATCGTCCAGACACCCCTGGTGAAAAAAGAGCGTCTATCCTCTGTTTGTCAGCAACAGACGCAAAAAGCCCAAGGAGTAGCTGATAGGGGTTTTCAAAGAGAGGGTGCAATTACTGAGCAGGCTCCATAAACTAATTTAGGCCAGACGTCTGGCCATTTCTATAGCTTTATTGGGCCGCCTTTCTTCCTGCTTTAAAGCAATTACTGATGCAACTTGGACAATAAATTTGAAATCCTCCAAAAATGCGATTTTCAAATAATAAACACTTTATTAGTACTTTAAAACCCACTGTTTTTAAAAAATGCGTCATTTAAAAATATATTTATGTCTTAACTCCTGGTATTTTCTGTTAGAAATAGGATAATATTTGTGGTGTGAAAAAAAATAACTGTCAGAGCTACTTTGAACGTTTTTAATTATGCAATAATTATTTCGAATAGGCGTTTTTTTTCTGTAATGATCTCTCCTCTTCAGTAAGCTAAGCTGCACATATGCTTATTATTTTCTGTAAACACTGATCATATATAACTCCCGACGCACATGTCACATATGTGTGTTTGCTCAATGACATAACAGTCAAAAGCTCTAGCTGCAGCAGAAATGTTTTACTCCAAATCTAGAAACAGGCGAAATACACTGGCACATTTCATGTTGCTTTTACGTCCCAGTTTGCAGCTGACGATGGTGAGAAATATTCAAACCAGTTCAGCTTGAAGTGATCCGCCAGGATCTCATCAGAAACAAATTCCTCATATGTGAGGCATATGGGTCCTTGACGGCGTCACTTAAAGGCCCATCTGAAAATGGCTGTACGAAATAGATTTGAGAGTTCAGATCGAGTTTCTTGTTGCAACAAAAACGAGTTTAAATGATCTCCTTTCCGCTTCTTTCTCTGTTCATCTTCTTCATCTTCATCCTCCGGTTCTGGAACCAGATCTTCACTTGTCTTTCTGTTAAACTCAGTATGCGGGCCACCTCGTAGCGCCGGTCCCTTGTCAGATACATATTGTAAAGAAACTCCTTCTCCAGCTCTAAAGTCTGATATTTAGTGTAGGGGCAGCGCTTCTTTCTCGTTGAGCGGGCGTGGATCCAGTTAGCTGCAGGATTGTCTGAAAAACAAACAAAAAACAAAAAAATTTAATTTCATATGAGGTTATCTCAATCGTGGTTTGAGTTCTTAAATACTATATTATGGGATATTTGATGAAACGAATGTGTATATAAATTAAGAATTAAAATCGTTGTTATAATCTTAAAGCATGATTGATGTAACTGATTTGGTTGTATAAAAAACATTTAAAAAGTTCCCTACCCCTCCCCCTCTGTCCACATCCCTGGTATAATCCAAGAGACTTTTATAGGTTTGTAAAACTGGAGGTTTTACGCCCCCAGTCCATGCAGTTCTCCTGGTTGTAAATCAGCATCAGCTATTTCGACTTTTTTTTTTTTTACTTACTTGGGTCAAGTTGTTGCTTCTCGTCTTTGGGCTCGCCATGACTCGAAGCCTCGCTCCCACTCTGCTCCCGGCTCGGCTTTTCCCGACACTCCGCGCTGCCGCAGGAGAACTCCGCCGCCGGGGGACGCGCCTCAGCCCCAGGAACCGTTTCTGTCTCCTCCAGCGAGTCGCAGCCTGCAGGCTTCGCAGGCAAAGGGAGTTCCGGCTTGGTTCCGTACGGTCTGCTGCCGGAGGAGTGGAAACCAGCGAATGAAACGTGGTTGGAAATCGGGTCCATCCAGGAGCGCATGCCGACGTATCTGCTGTCCGATGCGGGCAGATGGGACTGGTGGTGGTGGTGATGGTGGACATAGGGGTGATACAGTCCCTGAGGGTGCATCGAGGTCCAGGATGGGGAGAAAACGGCGGACTTTGGCGTAAAGCTACATGAGGAGAAGTCTGCGCTGTCCCCGGCACCTGGCGGTGGCCTCGGGGTCACGGTGTGCTGGGGCTGGATGAAGCGAGCCCCGTACAGCTCCTCCGGCTCCTGTCCCATTACAGCGTCCACATAGCAGTTACTGAGAGCGCCGCTGGAAGACATTTTTCCATCCCTTCCTTACTCATATAAAAAGGGTCGTGCTGTTAACGGGAAGCTTCCCTCTATGAACAATCATAGTATTTTTGCTGGCCTGCATCTTACAGGGATTGGTTGCATGGATCACGTGATCATATTTACCAATACAGCTAGTGAATCAATCCTCCCCTTTTTCATCAGGTTTGATGTAGATTTTTTTATCGCAGTGAAGGATAAAAACTAATGGGATTTAAATACATGCACCCATGTACATATTCTGAGAAAAAATGCAGCATTAAGATATTTAATTTTAAGATCAATTAGAATTTCTCCTGTTATGTTTAGTAAAATTCTTATGATATCACCCCGACATACCCCCAATGCCTGTAAAGCTCTTTATAGACTTACAAAGTCCTCGTAAAAGACATGTAATAACACGCTGTAAAGTAGCAGTGGCCGTTTCCGTTCACAATGCGGTGTACGCATTGTTAATATTTGGCAAGGAAGCATATATTATGCTCTACTCAGTCACATTACGGCTTGGATTCATTTTGCAAGTTCATGGAGGAAACGGAGGAGGCTAGAAATGTTTTCATTCATGAGAGAAATTATGTTATAATAAATGTTTTATGAGGTGCTGTGATTATACATGTCGTCATTTTTTCTAAAACAAAAAGAGTCATTTGTTGAGATTTAAAAGTGTTTTTTTTTTTATCTCTTTATTCTATTTTGTACTACGGGATGTTCTCTCAAATTCCAAACAGCTGATTTTCTTCCCTCGTTAAATCCTGGTAGGATTTCCAAATTAGAGCAACATAATAATTGAAAGATTTATTTAGCTTTTAAATGTTATAATATAATATGCCGCACGTGCAGTTTTTTTTTTTTTTTTTTTTTTTTTTAAGCAGGATAGTTAAAAGGACTATGCATGGCTCGGGTTGCATTTACAGCTTTTAATTATGCACGAATATAAAAATCTCTTATGCAATGTTTATTGAGTAATATTTAAGTTATAAACAGGGTTAAACATCAAGGTAATCGCTTGTTCGTTTACAGAACCCACGCCTCTTTGCATCGCCTGTTTTTTTATGCATATGCACAAACAAACCTGCGGGTTTTCGTTTAATTATCTGTGCGATTTAAATCACTACGATTATAATAAACCAGTATGGCACTATTTATATGCATTCTCACAAAACCCAGATGTTTTTTCGTCTTCTATCATTTCATTTAGCATTAAGTGTTCTCTTCTGAGCTCTAATATATTTAGAATGAAGCAAATGAACGTTTTGAAGAATTCAGTACACATCTTCCAATTAACATATTTTCTTTACCACTTTAAAAATGTTTTGTGCAACTTTCGGTTAGTAAGCGCAAAAAAAATACCTTAATAATTTCTATACGTTCCGCATATATTCCTCCACTTTGGATAACAGCAAATATCCCCTGTTCCCATGAATACAAATAAAGAAACTTATTTGACCACATATTTATTGCAAGATACACATGCACCAAAACATGCACTAAATCCACAGTTCATCGTTGCTTTCCATTGAGGAAATGCGTTGGCACCAAGCAAAAACAGGGGCTTGCACAAAAAAAGAGAGCAACACAAATTATTCACAAAAACACCACAAAATGTGTTCCCGTGATTCCACAGCTTTATCATTTCCACTCTATATCAGGAAGTCTTTTGGTGAAAAAAAAAGGAGTGTCACGTAATGTTTTGAAACCAAAAAGTGCTTTACCCTGTTATGAAATAACACTAAAACACGATGCTGCTCAACACAGGGGACAGTCACAGCTTTGTTGAAAGTTAGGAGAAAAGTCCAATGCCACCAAAATAATTACGGGGAATTTAAAAATAAAAAGAGCGATAACCAAGTGGAGCAGGCTCAGGTAAAGGTGAGAGTCGAGGTCAGTTCTCGGATGCGGTTTTCCCGGTTCATTTTCTTCAGTTTCATCCTCCGGTTCTGGAACCAGATCTTGACCTGTCTGTCGGTCAGGTTGACGCTCCTGCTGATCTCTAGGCGGCGCTCCCGGGTCAGGTACATGTTGAACAGGAACTCCTTCTCTAACTCCAGGGTTTGGTGCTTGGTGTAGGGGCACCTCTTCTTCCTGCCGCTCTTCGCCGTAAGCCAGTTGTTTGTCAGCGTCTCAGTCTTGCACTCTGCTGGAAAAAAAGGGGGAAAAAGTCAAATTACACACGGCTGAATACAAACATCTCACCTTCTGCTTTTGGATCTCACCTCTGGGAAATAAGAGACAATTAAATGCTTTCCCTGAGTAATAAAAATAGTTTGGAGCTTTGTGGAGGTTAATGAAAGGACTAAACCAAAATAAACTATATGATGCAAGATCATATTTTCATCTTTTTACTGAAATCCATTCATATTTTTGAAAAGTGCCTGATTAGTTACATATTATTTGTGAGATCAATTTAATGTGTATTTTAAATGCAATTTGAGACAAAAACCTCAAATGTATTTTTACAATATATATTGCAGTTACATATAAGGGGAGGCTAATACAGCATAGTGAAAGCATCCAGCTGCCCATTGCTGCAACCGGATAAAGACTATCATTAAACGTTACGACTTTAGGGCTGTTTGTGTTTTATACTTGCTTTTATGATGCTACTGGAGCCTCCTCAGAGCTGCAGATAAAAGCTTTTCATTTCACTACACCCAACCCACCTTTCCCTTCCTTCTGCTGCAGCAGCTCGGGTCTGGACTCTTCTGTTTTCTCATCCGAGCCCGACTTTGGGTCCGGGCTTTCACTTCGAATCGGTGTGCTGCTGATCCTTTCTGGTTCCCGGACGCTATTTTCCGCTTCTGCAAATCCAGAGGAAGAGGAGGAGGAGACGTGCTGCGGTTTCGGCGTGACCCGACCGAGCTGCGCAAGCGTCGGTGTCGGGCTTCGAGGCTCCTGGCAGTAGTTTTCCGGCTGCTTCCCGTTAGTGTAAGCTTGGCTTAGTCTGAAGTAGCCCGGAACCGGGATCTCCGGACCGTCCACGGCGCACGGTTCGTTAATGAGATTGGAATATCCCTCTTTGTGGACTCTTTTATCTGAGTACATGCAGCAGTTGCTCTCTTCCTTGATGCTCTGTGGAAACGTGCAGTTTGACATCTCTGATCTGCAGGTTCTGCTCGGATCAGCCCAGGTGTCTATCTGAGGTATATATGAGTGGACGTTCATGGAAGTGTTTTGGGGGGCAACATCTCCTCTTTTACCAAAATTCGGCAAGAGTCCACAAGTTTGCATTCCGTATGTCCCGTGCATGTCCGAACCGGACGGCATGTACATGCTGCCGTTAGAATAGAAGCTGTCCGTCCGGCATGCGCCGATCAAAGAGTCCACTAGGAACGGGTTGGCTGCAGGTGAGCTGCTGGAGAAAGACATCTCTAATTTTTGAGTCTTTAAGTTCTTAAGAGGAGAGAGATGTCTTTTTGTAAGATGACATGTCTTGGAAAAATATTCTGTAAGTCAGGATGCCTCCGCACCACATGACAAAACCACCAATGAGATTTGAAAATGGCCTTGAGACGCAGCCTCCTCTGGCTGGACGCACACACTATGAGGAGGGAGACGTGGTCAACAGCGACACCTATGACGCGTACTTGAAATTGGTTTTGCACCAAGTGCAGGAGGCAATGTAGCTTGTGGCAAGTTTTTTCTTTGTGCGCAAAGTCTGAAAATATGAAAATGCGAGTAATACCGGTACACTAAATTTGTACTATGTGTTTGGGTCACTGTATGTATGTATATGGTGTCATGAGTGTGGTTTATTTTGTAATATAGTTTAGTCCAGTTTATTAAATAATATCCTCACACACACACACACATCCACAACACACACACACACACACATATATTTATATATATATTTATATATACACAAACACACACACACACACACACACATATATATTTATATATATATATATATATATATATATATATATATATATATATATATATATATATATATATATATATATATATATATATATATATATATATATATATATATATATATATATATATATATATAGTATGGAACAAGAAAAATTTACATTTAAAATAAGAAAACAAAATTGCATTGTCCTATTTTTGTGCATATTATCTAATTATCTTATTGTAAGAATAAAAAAATCTAATTCCACTTGCAAACTATCTCAATTACCTACTCAAAATAAGGGTAAATACACTTACGTGTATGTATTTGTATATATATATGTATATATGTATGCATCTATATGTATATGTTGAAATATATGTAGTGATTTAACATATAAACAAGTATAATATATAATATAATGTTCAAAAATAAATAAAAGCAAAAATGCGTACCAATTTACATTGATGTGTGTATCTTTTTATTTGTACAACGCTGAAAGCATGTTCATCGAAAAAAAAAAAAAAAAACATCCAAGGAAGGCAACTGTGAGCAAGATGAGAGTACTCATCAATGAAAACAATAATGCAACCGTTTTTTGAATTAACCTAATCATATTTAGTAACTTTATCACAATTTTTTATGTTAGCAGGATAGGACAAACCATTGTGTTAAAGTAACTAAATATGATTAACTAAATGCCAAAAGCGGCTGCATTACATTTGTCAGTGCAGCTCTAATACTGAAAAGCGATTATGAGGATTCTAAGTCACAGAATCGGACTTTTTTAACCCAATTATTGGCAATAAATAATAATAATAACAACAATAATAATAATAATAATAATAATAAATATTATTATTATTATCATTATTATTATAATAACAACAATTATAATACTTATAATAATAATAATAATGTTATAGCAATAATATAAAAAATGTGTGAGGTATATGTTATCCGTTCAACATTGTTAACAGATGGAGAACAGATGGAAAAAACAAAATAAAATACTGCAGCACAAATAAGCCGAAAAAAATGATTTACTGAAGAAAAAAGAAGTAAATTTTTTTTTTTATTATGAAAATATTTTTAATGCTGATGATCCTTTTTGTAAAGTCAATGTTATACTTTCAGGATAGTGTTTACGCACCCCTTCTTGTGGGGATATGCCGGTTAATTGAAGCCATAGATTCATATAATGCATTCAAAATATACACAACAGTCATTGGAATTAAATGGATCAAACGACCCGACTGAAAAAAAAAACAATTTATTAACAATGAAATAAATGCCACTATTTAAAATAAATAGCAGAACTATTTCGAAAGAATAATATAATATAATATAAAACGATTAAAGCGTTTTAAGATTTAACATGAGTGTAACTCTTTTAATAACGGCTGAGTTAACCACATACATTTTTCGATTCAGCCTTGATTCATCTTAAATTTTTCAAAGAACACAGACATATACAGAATATTGAAATAAGAGATAGAAAATGCAAACATCAACAATGTGGTATTTTATACGTTGAACTGTGTCTGACTTGCAATCAACGATTGGCCTTAACCACCCATTTCAAACTTCATGGATTGTTTAAAAATGTGACTTTATGGTAATTTAGATATTCAGAAATACACTGTCTTAAAAGAAATAATCGATAATAAAGATGATCATTTATAAGAAAGAAAGAAAGAAAGAAAGAAAGAAAGAAAGAAAGAAAGAAAGAAAGAAAGAAAGAAAGAAAGAAAGAAAGAAAGAAAGAAAGAAAGAAAGAAAGAAAGAAAGAAAGAAAGAAAGAAAGAAAGAAAGAAAGAAAGAAAGAAAGAAAGAAAGAAAGAAAGAAAGAAAATCTAACTACTGAAATAAATTATTCGGTTTAAGGAACTGCTTAAAATAAAATCTCAGTAAACCTTGGGCAGAACAGACTGTCCTAACCTCGGGCTGGTTGCTTTCCATGTTAAATTTGCTTAAGTCTGCATTTTCACTCAGTTAGATTTGAAAGTCTGCCCTCATGTGGATAAAATGTGAATCAAAAAGAAACACTCCACTCAGTTGGTGATCTGCTTTCATGTCGGTAGTAAATCACGATCCAAGGAAATTAGAGGACATGAATCAAAAAGAAGAAAAAAAATCAGAAATACCTTCAACATTAATTCATATTCACATGAAATCACCAGTGATTTGTTCTGCACTGCATGTATTATTAATAGGTTTCTGAGAAAGAGGGGAGGAATTGTTGCAGTCAGATGCAGAAAGGAGACACAAAACTAATTTAAAGCACATTCCAGCACATTTAAAAACTCTAAAACAGGAGAAAAGTAATCTCGTTTCCCTCTCAGCGCCCCATTAAAAAAGACAAAACTGAAGCTGAATTCGCTTGAAAGGGGCAGAGAAAAGTCTCTAGATGTTAGAAGTTAAAGCGCTTTAAGACCGGAAGGATGCGTTTTCATGTGGTTTGGGGGCTGAGACACCACAGTCCAATAGCCCCTTATTTAGACCTTTACAGCTACCATTTATTGCGCTGTCTAGACGGTTCAAGGTTTAGCAAACAATTCAGTTTTTCAAAGCCGAGGAAACAACGGAACAAAATAAGCGTTTGAGTGCCAAACTGAAGTTTCTGCTCCTTAATGCTTTAAAAGAAAAGACAAAAATTATTATAGTAAATCTTTGTTTAGCACAATTAAAGCAATTTTGTAACGGAGAACCATTTGGTTTGCTTATCATTTCACAATACACAACATTTATTACATGCATGTCACAAATATGTCTACAAAAAAGAAAAATAAAGAAAAGGACAATATATGCTACTTGGTATGATTTAGAATAAAAATATTCTGAACTGACAATAAAGCCAATATATGATTGAATACATTAAAATAATCGTACCACCCATATGAAATAAATGGGCATGTTAGGTTGCAGCTCTTACATAGTACCTAGGAGCTTCTTCAGCTGAGTCTGTGTTTGCGTTTGAATGATTATCTCAAGCCTCATACATCAGAATAAAGGATTCCCAGTAAAATATTGTAGGCGATCGCGGTTGAGTTTTTTCTCCTTCATTCTTCTATTCTGAAACCAAATCTTCACCTGGCGATCTGTCAAATTTAGCATTCTGGACAGCTGGAGACGCTTCTCTTTGTTAATGTACACGTTGAAGAAAAACTCTCGTTCAAGTTCTCGGATTTGGTATTTGGAGTATGGACACCTCTTCTTCCTGGACTTGGTTGATGAACCTGCAAAACAAAACGAAACAAAACAAAGAAGCTATCGTGAGAAAAAAAAACAAACACCTAAAAGGAAAAAAGGTATGGTCAGTCCCCAGGACAACCGCGCTTAGGAGTGCAGTAAATACGCAATTAATAAGGCTTTACTTGTAGAAAGGGCCCTGTAACACCCCCCACCCCCACCCCCTGCACACACACCACCCAAACACACACACACACACACACACACACACACACACACAACGACAACAATCACAGGCTATTTGCATAAAAACACCCCATTCCAATGCGCGAATTTGCAAAAAAACGCATCGATTTTTCCACTCAAGTCTGTCATAAAGGTATGCATCTGTACACCAAAATGATCCCATTTGCTATGCTTAATCAATCCAAGTTAAATAATTCCACTCTGCACACAGAAGACCTTGAAGAACGGTTTCTTTAACTGTTTCCCATTGTAAATTCTTTTACAACCGTAAAGTAAATCTTATAGGGATATAAAAGCTTTTGCATGCTTATAAAAGTGCATATAACCCACGGGCCGTCACGGAGGTGGACACTGTGCAGCCAAGACGCCTTTAACAGCTTCTGGTTGATGCAGAAAAAAAAAGGAAAATGCTAAATAGACTTACTCTGACGATTGTTCTTGTCGCCACAGTTAGAGGATGAGTCCTCGTCGGCGCTGCCGGGAGGCTCTGCGTTTTGTTGCTCCAATTTGGTTACAGCCTGGCTGATGATCGTGGCATCATGGTCATCACGGTGATCGTGGGAAGCAGGCTCAGCAGCCTTTTGTTTGGGAAGCTCCGTGTTCGGAGAGTCAAAGAACTGATCGAAGCCCTGGGGGAGAACACCGTTTCGACCCACTCCTGCGAAGAAATTGCACTGCGCGCTGGTTCCCCCATGATGACCGTACAAGGGCTCATTTTTAAATATAACATCTGCCCTGCCGCTCGACGACTGGATCAGTTCCCGGTGCATTATGTCGTCTGTTGAGTAGTAGGAAGCGTAATTGCCCCTGTAGTGCCATTTCGGATGGTCCAGTCCATAATCCCTGAAAGCGACCTCTCGGACAGGTTGGACTTGGGTTATGTTTGGCGAATAGGGAAAATTGATCTGACACGAAGTGGTCTGCGGTAGAAAGGAGGAGACTGAGGTGAAATCGGGCGTCGAAACGTAATAAGTGCAACTGGGCAAAAACATATTTGACGCACAGCTTCGGTCGTCGAATTCCGTCATTTTCCTTCTTCCTCTTTCCTCCATGCAACAGAGGGACGGAGTTGGTGGCTCGACCGCGTTAAACTTTGTCCATCTGTAGCACTACGGGCGTGTGGAAAGACCCCGACAGGGAGGCAAAATCGGAAACGCAGGCAGACCTGCAATACATCTTGATCGATTCCTGAGGTAATTGTGTCATGTGATCCAGCTAAGAAATTACCATACATCAATATCAGTCATTAAAAACAGCCTGAAAAAAAAGCAACTCATGTGAGCTCTTACAAGAGACTCTATTGGCTCCCTGGCTCCAACGGAAACTCCTCTCCAGCCCTTTTTTGCCCCAAAGCTCAAGGGAAAAAAAATATATTTTTTTAACCATTGCTGAGATATTGACTGTAATGCTTTACAGAGGGATTATCTCCGCTGGGGACTGATCTCTGCAACCACACCCACTTAATGCTTCAGTAAATTCAGAGAATGCATTGTCTGCAACAGTTGAAAAGATGATCCGCACGCTTAATCTGAAGGCACCATGCTATCAATTTATGATTTCTTGCTAAGAAATGTTAAACTGCGCAGGTTTATGGTCACTGTGCGATATGCGAAATTTAACAGTACCCAAATGAATGGGAGAATTGGAAGCATTTGCATTAATTAAGAGACAAAAAGGAAAGATCAGCACCGAGGTGGAACACACACGAGGCTCTGGTGAAATAGTGGAAACAATGACAGATCTCAATCTCTAGCAAAGCAGGGAAACACTTGTTTGACAATTAAATACTTAAATATTAAATTAATAAAATGCAGGGAATGATTAAATTACCCTAAAAAGAAAAAAAAGAGAGATTCAAATGTGAATATCTGGAAAGTTTCTGCACTGCCAAGTCCAAAACAACTGGCTTTGACCGTCTGTCGTGTCTAGGTGATGTCCAACAAGTCTCCTCCGCAGCCATATCGTTTTATTGCTCCACAGGCAGCCATGCGTGCAAAGCTTGCCTCCTTCCTCGGTGGGAACACTCTAGTTAAAAACACAGAGGGAAGGAAATAGCTCATCACTCCAGCTTCGAACAATATTTTGTTTGGAATTGTGAGTATTTTTTCTTAAGCTTTTTCTACATTTTTTTACCCTCTCTCTTCTCCCCTTTTTATTTTTAATTTTTAGGTGATACTGTAATATGATAATATCCTCGCGTCACTGGGTTAAATTATATGCTGCATTCAAAATCCTGTGGTTTTGTAATTTATTTTACACAGAGCCACAGTGCGTGATGACAAGCCGAAAAGCAAGTAAAAATTATACATTTGTTGGTCGTTATAATTAATTTTTTTGGGGGGTCTACTTTTTGATTTAACGTGGATGGACATGCAGAACTGTTTGTCTGTCAGTGAATAATAAATTGTAAAAAATCTATGTTTTAAGATATTTTCTACGTGTTTGTCTCTATGTGAAACTGGGTTATCTTTTTTGCCTATAGTTTTCTTTTACTTAAATTCAACCAGTGTTTTTTTCTTCAAAGTCTGAAACACAAACAACAAAATAATTGTCGATTGCTAAAAGCTCCGTTTTTTTCTTTACATACAGGAACACTTACGTTAAATTATTATCAGAAAAAATACGGTCATGCAAATCAGGTGGCCTTTACAGAAATATGGTCTTTTTAACTTTTTTTATTTGAACTGTGTCTGACGTAAGTTTTGATGTATTATAATTATTATTATCGTTCGAATCTAGATGTAGCCTACATAACTTCTAAATTCTGGTGTTGCAGACTTGAGTTTTACGCAAAGCTAACTCGGTGAATGTCTTTAAAACGCAAAATGTGCAAATAGAATGTTTGGTCGTTTAAAAAATCTCGTTGTGGTTTTGCAAAAATGCTTGTGTAAAAATCTTTTTTTAATCAAAAACCTTATCTGGATTGCTTCTTAAAGTTAAAGTGCCTATATCTACAAATATCGTTGCTGTCGGGCTGCACTGGCAAAACGATCTAAAAATAAGTAAACATTTCTTAAATGAAGTGTATTTACCCTTAATTTGAGGAGGTACACGAGATAGTTTACCAATGGAATGAGTATTTTTACTCTTAAAATAAGATAATTAGATAATATGCACTTAAAATAAGACAATGCCATTGTGTTTTCCTATTTTAAATGTAAATTATATTGTTCCACTGACAAGATGTCTCTTTAAACGCCTAAATCCAAGAACAAATTCACTTATTTTAAGAAAAAATGACTTATCTAGTTTTGGATTTTTTTTCAGTGTGTTTGAAGCAACTTGACCTTAACTTTGTTTTCTTACCCCGAATCGTGTTTAGGAGCTTGAGCAACGTGAAGGAGCTTGGCAAAAACTGACATAATAATACCACGAGGAGAAAAAAAAGCAAGCAATACTTTTTTTTTTTTTGTATTGCATCTTCAGCACTTAAAAGTTGAGGTACAAGATAAACAAATGGCGAAGTACACAAAGAGGTGTTTATGACAGTTTTGGGGAGATATTTTTACCATCTCTCCCTGTCTCCCTCCCTCTCCACCTCTCTCTCTCTCTTTTGGGCATCATAGGGTGCAATAAGTAGCCTACGCCAGAGACACTCAGGAGGTGTTTCTCTGTTGAATGGTGGGTCGCAGCCACAGGATTTTCCAGCTCTAAGTAATGGTGGTTACAGTCTTACGCACGGTGAAAAAGATACGTATAAGAAAGTGAAATGATATCACTACAAGGGTATTTCATATTAAGCCAGGTCATCTATCACGAGATATGATATGATAATTATGACGTGGAATAAAAATAATCTTTAAAGCTTGCTTGCTCTCAAGGGTACTCAGAGGGCATGCTGTTATCTAATCACAGTGTTATCTTGGCCGAAGAACCACACACACATATGTGTGTATATATATATATATATATATATATATATATATATATATATATATATATATATATATATATATATATATATATATATATATATATATATATATATATATATATATATATATATATATATATATATATATATATATATATATATATATATATATATATAGTGCGGGTGTGTGTGTGTAACACTTTGGAAGTATACATATATATTTAGAAATGGTCGTCTGCTACTTCCGGTTTACCAGCACCAGTTCTCCCACTACCCATGTAGGCAACTGCTCATGTTACCTGCAGTTGCATGCTTTGCAGTGCTAAATATAAACACTCAAATACAACTTTTCAGCCAAATTTTAGAATCACAAGTGACTTCAGTGTGGGAAACATTTTATTTGGAGTTGAGTGCACGGCAAAGACATAACATAAATCAAGATAATGTTTAGTCGGAGACGCTTCAAAACCTTCCACATCTATAGTTCGCTGGAATATATTCCCAAGCAAATGGGCGGAAATAAATATTATGAAATAGAAATACAAGATAATAAAATGGATTTAGAATTAAGTTAGCACATCTTAATTTCATCTTAGTAAAATTGCGATAAAAGGGGCATGCAAGCACATATGGTATCTAATATCCTACATATTTCCCAATGGATAACATTCCGTTATATCAAAACTTAAAATAATTTTACAGACAAGAAAACAACAAACGTTATATTAGGAAATTTGATTCAAAGATCAGTATTATAATTTACTTTGAGTCTACTAGACCTCAGGGTTCTAATACTAGAAATAACAGCATTGCAGCTTAATAATATTGTTATAAGGAATACGGTCTGCGTAAAAGTGTGGGTGGGAATTACTTTTTTTTTTTCAATGAAAATTTGTGGTTCAACCTAAATCCTTCTTTCTTGCTTTCCTAAACTGAACCAAGGTGCTTTTGTTTCTTCAGGCAAACTACAGTCAGGAGCGAGTAGCCATCCTGTCTGCAGCTTGACAATCGTTCAATCTGTGCTCCTGCAATCCGCTCAGCAAAGCTTCCAACAGACACAAATGATAAAACTGACATGTACAATTTAATATCATTGAACAGAGGAGGGAGAGACGACACAACATGTCTGGAATCAGTGTCCAGTCGGTTCAGGATCAAGTCCAAAGATCACATCAGTAGAAAGCGTGTTCCCGCATCATCAGGCGCTTCTTCTTCATCCTGCGGTTCTGGAACCAGATTTTCACCTGCTGGTCACTCAGGGAAAGTCTGTCTGACAGTTCCTTTCGCCTCTGGCGATTGATGAACTCGTTGAGCAGAAATTCATTCTCAAGTTCAGTGAGTTGGGGTTTGGTGTAAGGCTTCCTCTTCTTACGCGCTTTAATGTGTGAAGGGCACCATGGAGCACCTGGACAGGGAAGGGAAAGAAAGCGACAAGCTTTACACCGACTTGATTAAGAATTAAATAAAAGTTAAAAATAGATTGTAATGTTACCCAACTGGAAAATTTTGCACAACTAAATATTTGGACTGCTTGCAATTTGATCTAAATATTTCGGTATGATAGGACGGAATTTGGTGGGTTTGATTATATTGTAAGAGAGGATTGACTTCTTTTAACTGCTAGAAGCAAGTAATTAATGGACAGGTGCAAAACAGAAAAAAATGGCTTCAAACAATCAGGAATAAAAGAAAAAATTAAAACACTTACAAAAGTTATCATTTTTAAACTATTCGTCTGATGTATCAGCAACCCTGGAAGCCGATCTATAAAATGCATGAGGTATGTTTACTGTTATAATCGTTAGATTGAACAGAAAAACTGATAAAAAAAAAATATTTCGTGTGAAAATGAATCCACCTTAAACTTAAAGTAGAAAGCTAAAGGTGGAAATGTTTAAATAGGAAGATGTCTAAACAGGTATTATACATGATTGATGTTATTATGGTATTATAAAGAGCCCGTTTGCCTTATAGTAATGCACATTCCATTTGTACTTTAAATGCACAATGTTACAAGGATTTAGATAACTGCACCGGCCATGATTATTTCGTTTTTGTAAGTTTATATATTCATTTTCAGTAGTTTTTTTTATATATTTTTTTTGTGTGTACGAGATTTATGTTCCTGCGTTTTTACTGGTACATATTTCCGGAATATTATTTGATATTTTGAGTAGGCTACTTTGTCTATCACCTATGGAATTTCTTTTGTTGTTATATGTAATGTTTTTGATCAATTTTGTTTCCCTGCTTTTACCTTGTGTGAAAAGAAATCTGAAACGAATCCTTGGAATCTTTGATCTTTGGTAACTAAGATTTTCAGGCCATTCAGG